CTCCCTTGGAAGAGTATCCTTGGTGCAAGAGGCTACTTTCATCAGCTGGAAGGCAGGTCTCATTTAAGGGATAGTTTTCCTCCTTCCCATCTTGATGCTGTCCATTCCTGAGGCTCTCATTCTCATGGGGGCTGCCACAGTGAAGGTGGGACTGCTGTACAGTATCCCTGAAAGCTTCATCTATGATCCTCACTGCCTCCCTTAACTGCTCCAGTTCTACCACCCTAGCTTGTTCTCTCAGAATTATAAACTCTTTGCACTAGTGCATGCACACACAAAACCTGCCCCTGGGGCAGGTAATCATACATGCTACACTCAGTACAATAAATTAGTAGCCCCCTGCCTGCATTTTTTTAAAGCATTAAAACCTTCCTGGTCTTTTAGTTAGTTTTTGTAATGTTTGGGTTCCTTTTGATTAGAAACTTGAACTTATGGATTGACCTTCTCTCTAACCTTACTCAGCCTTAATTGCAGTTAAATATTAAACAATGGACAATATTAAACATGTATTGAGATGTAAAACAATATCTAAATGCTAAATTTTTGTTACTTTACCTAGATCTCTAGGTTAGTTGTTCTTAATTCTCAATTAAAGGAATAACTTGCCTGAATAGCTTCCCTTCAAGGACGGGGGCAGCCAACTGGCCTGCAAACTGCTTGGAAACTGCCTAGTTACTCTCCCTTTCCCTCAACTGCTTTCCTTTCCTGCTGTCCTAGGCCAGGGCTGGTTCTGTCTGCTTTTTAAGGCCTTGTCAGCCCAGAGGCAGCAATCACTTAGCAAGCAACATTCGCTAACTAGTCAGATCACACAGCCCAAACACCATCAGACCCAGTGGCCACATCTACATGAAATACTGACTGCGTAGTAGCTTGTTACTACTGCCCAGTAGCATCACGTGTTGTGAAGCGTGATACAGGGCTGCTGCGCAGTAGTAACGAGCTACTGTGCAGTCAGCATCACCAAACAGGCACTTGGGAACACTACTGTGCAGTCACTCCAGTTACTGTGCAGTCATGTAGTACTTGTGTGTGCAGCCAATGAATACTTAATTCTTCCAGAAAACAGTGATATAGCTTTAATAGAAGACACTGAGGGAGGTCCTCACAGAAACATCACAGGGCTTGGTGGTCAAAGTGCTGGTTTGAGAGGTGGGGAGTGCATGTACCCTCCCCATTTAGTGATGTGCACTCTCCCACATCTTGCACAAATGCTTCAGTCATCTGTTGAGCCAAAGCAGCACCCCCACTTTCTTCTCTGGCCACTTTGAAACAAAGGACTTTCCCCTCCTTTGTTTCTGAAAGAAAGACCCCTCCATAAAAATAGTCACAGATGTTGAGCCTAAGCAGAGAAGCCCCAGAGAAGGCAGGGGCTCAAGCTGCACCTATTCCTTCAGCTTTACCTTCTATCTCAGGTACTTAACATAAGGGCGAGAACTCTCACAGACAACAGGGCACCTAACAGGTGGGCTTTGCTACATCAAAGTCCTCTCTATGTCTTGCACATTGTCTGATTTATGACATCATAAGATTCCATCACCATGGATATGCACAATTAAGCAAGGCTGGCCTGACCAGCATGTTCAGAATCCAGCCAGTTGCTAAGAGTCTTCAGGGTTTCATTAGCAGAAATTATCAACCTAACAGCTCCAGGGAGTGCCTTGACAGAGAAACAACCTGGAACTTTATTACAATTTCAGAGTCGAGGAAAGCAAAAGCACTGAAGTCAGTGACTTTTCAAAGAGATGCTTCAGGTTGAGGGTGTGGAGAGTGGCTTTTAGACACCCAGGCTGAGTTCTGTAGCTGATGCCCTACTTCTATCATATGCCTGGGAACATCTGGGGCCCCAGCAAGTCCCTTCTTTTCCTAAAACAGGGTACTTAGAGAATATCTGTCCTTTCCACAGCTCTTACCAGAGCCTGCCCTATTTTAACTTTGGACCCAAATCAGCTCTTAATCCCAGTTTGCTAAGGGAGTGAAGATGGCAGGAACCCACAGCTTGTAAGTTAAGCACTTGCAGGCTGCATGTGGCTTGCAGGCCACCAACTGGACAGTGCTGTTGTAGCAGAGTGATGGGGCAGCAGCAGCTGGGCTGGAACTTGGGGGCCACAAGCCCTCACAGTTGGACAGCCCTGGCTTATCTCATCAGCTGTGTAGTGGAAAGAGCACTTTGGAGTCCTTACATATGATTCCCCTCTATAGAGAAATAATTACACTATGCGACTTGGGACCTGTAGGATCAGCATATGGATCCTGGTTTTCTCTATATTAAAATCCAAGTTCTCAGATAAAAATGCAAAATTCTTTGATTAAAACCCCCCCAAATCCACGTTTTTCCACAATTAAAATGAAATGCCACTATATATGTAGGCATCAGTTGAACACAATGTTTTATTGATATATTTACAATTTTAAAGTAATTTGGAAGCCTACCAGTGCCTCAATCAAAACCAAAATCAAATGCCAAAATATATAGGTATTTAGAATTTATTTTATTGTACTATGATGGAAAAATCAGAGCTCCCTTTGCCCCCTTCAATCACCAGGACACGGGTCCAGCTGCAGCTGTCCCCCCTGCTGCTGCTGTGTACAGCAGCCCTGATTTGCCGGTGCCCTGCCCTTGCCACTGCTGGGACCCCCATGCCGCCAGCAGTGTAAGGAGTAACAGATGGGTCGTAATGGCGGTGGTAGAGCTGTGGGCCAGTGTGCAAGTGGCAGGCAGCAGGAGGTGGCGAGGGCAGTGTAGCTTCCCCCCCACCCCGGCCCATTACTCCTTGCACTGCTGGCAGCACAGTTGGCATGAGGGTCCCGGCAGTGGCAGCAGTAACAAGTCTCGCCACCCTGCTCCGTCCTTTTGCTCTGGGTCCTGGCTGCTGGGCCAGACGTGGCTCTTGCCTGTGTTGCTCCAGCCAGGCTACAGCTCTGTGCCCTCTGTGAGTGACAAATCCAGGGGGCACGTGCCTCCCCATGTCCCCCTGCCCCTCCAGTGCATCGTCTATGCCCCCCACATAGACATACCTGCAAGGAGCTGCTCTCCACCATGCTGCCACGTGCACGTGAGTGCGCACATGGCACTCTCTGCTTGACCGCCCTCTCCTGCTCCCCCAAGCAGCCCCTCACAGGTTGGAACTCTGGCAGTCTGCAAGGGGAAAACCTGCCATTTCCTCCATTTTTCTCCTTTAAAGGAGAAAATCTATATTTTTCCTTGGCAAATGGAAAACCTGGATCCCTGAAGATCAGGCATCAGCTGAGGAATGGTTTGGGGATGTCACTGACAGCCTCAGTTTTAGAGCAGGTGCCCAAAGAGATAGTAAGATACGCTCAGAATCTTTGGGGCTTTTAGCCAAAGTCTTTACCAAGCTGTACGATGTGTCAACAAGCTGAAACACTCCAAACTTTTTCATGGGAACAGCAAGAAACACCTCTTTCACCCTCCCACTATCCCCCCAGTGAAATATTAAGTTAATGCTCCAAATGCTAGAAATAGTAAAGCTGACAATTCTTGTTCTTTCACATTTGGGGAGCTGCATATTCTCGACTAGCTTGGCATGCCAAGTTGTTTTCAAATACTATTTATCAAACTTTTGCACACATACACAACTCAGCCTTAAGTAGGGACCAAGCCTGAAAATGCAATGCCAAACCGTTAAAAGCATCCTAGTCATAATCAAATGGGAAATGGGTTATTCAGTTGTAATATGAGGGACCCTCAAAGCTTCAATTCTGTTGCCCTTTGCAGCACCTGGTGCTTCAGCGTGGAACATGGCGTCCAAGAAGCGGCAGCCAAAACAGGGAGTTGCAGATCTGAGGAAAAGCAAACAGGGAACAAACAGCAAAAACAGTGAACGGCCCCATGCAAGTTGCAGCACAGACCTGCTTGTCACCGAGAGGGAACGGTACCTTCAGAAGGAATGCGAGATCCTGACTGAACAGATAGACACGTACAAGAAGAGAGTGGAGCACTTCCTGCAGGAGAACGAGTTTCTGGACAAGGAGGCGCAGCAGATGCAGCAGAACAGTAAAATCTATACCACCTACATGAGGAAGCACACTCAGAAGTGCCAGGACGCTGTCGTGATGCTGAATGACCAGAACCACTCTGATCTGAGCGCCGTGCGCAGGCAGAAAGAGCAGATGGTTGCTCATTACTCTGAGCAGGAGAGGAAGCTGAGAAAGAAGCTAATGGAGCTGGAGACAAAGTCTGCACTCATGAGCAGGGAGGTTGGGGACCTGCAGCCCTACAAGGACCTGCAGCTGGAACAGCTGATCAGAATCAGGGAGCTGGAGAAGGAGCTCCTGCTCACAAAAATCCAGCACACAGAGCAGATGCACAAGGTCAAGAGCAGGTTTCTGCAGGCCAAGTCTGACTACACGGTGGTGTCTCGGCAGAAGGTGCAGGCCCTGGCCAAGAGCGCAGAGGAGGCGGCCGTGGGCTGCCTCATCCGGCACATCAAGCAGGTGAAGGCCGAGAACTGGCGCCTGCGCCACCAACTGCTGGGCCTCCTCCGGCGCTCCGGCGTCCTGCGGGCCTACCAGCACCAGCTGCGAGCGCGGCAGCAGCAGCTACTCCGGGAGCACCAACACAGCCAGGCCCTGGCCCGCCTGCGCCCCTGGCTGCAGCGCCCTGCGGCACGGGGCCCCGCACAGGCCGACCTGCGCACGGGCGGCCCCCGGGACGGACCCTTGGCCCAGGGCCGCGCCGCCTCACGGGCCGGGACCAAGGGGCAGCAGCGGGCAGGTC